ATATAATTAAGATCAATTGCAAAAAAAACAGTGAATAGAAAAAAATTTTCAAAGAGAAGGCCAACAAATAGTGGATTTGATGTTTGCGCGGATTGAAGAAGCTGCAGCCCTACAAGACGAATTTATTATAACTTAACTTATCTTAATTGTTTCTTTTGTTATGTACATACACATGCACATCGCGAAGAAAAAATATATAATAAAATATACATTTCCTATAATAAATTTTATTTCCACATTTGAAGTGCAATTGATAAATAACCTTTGGAATTGACTTGAGAGTTAACCATATTCTCAAATGGAGATCAAACTCCCCTTTTTATTGAGAAAGCTGTAATTTTCAAATCAATATTAAATTATTTTCAAACGTTTGACAATTGAGAAAGGCTTTGATTTCAATTCATTCTCAAATGTATATCAAACCTAATTGTTTGCTGGGTATGTATGCATAACCAAAACAAAATGCATAACCAAAACAAACGCGAAAAATATCTCCCATACAACGGCGTTGAAAATTTTTCGCGATAAGTTTAGGGAACGTACCCATTAGAGTGGTTCAAAAAAATTTTTTTTTGGAAATTTATAAACGCTACCTCAAATTATTGTTATTTGTGATAAAAAAAGAGAAACGTGTTTTTTTACTTTGAAAAAAAAATCTTTTCTTATAGGCCGCGCTAGTCGGTTTTTTATAAAAACGCTGACGTTCTAAATTTTTTAATTTTCTTGACATGTTAAAATGCAGCTAAAAATGTGGTTTTTACATATAATTACTGTAGTTTTATTGGAGAACATTCCCTGTCTTGGTCAGTTAGAATGGGCCTAGTGCCCGAAAATATGCTCTCGAAGAGACTAGTATCTTAAAACGTTGATACTGAACGATTTACTCATTGTCATGGGTTGGAACTTGTTACCAGGGGTTTCTGAGGTTGCTAACTGACGTTTTTCAAAATTCAAAACGGCGATCCATTTTTTAGAAAAATGGTTGGACTTGTTCGAAAACCAGCACTCGAGAGTTTTTGGGGTCGCCGATTACGAATCTGAAGTCATTTTTTTAAATTCAAAATGGCTGATCCAATATGGCGATTAAATTAAAAAAAAAAATTACTAAAATTAAAACGTTGATACTGAACGTTTTAAGCATTGTCAAGGGTTGAAACTCGTTTCCAGTGGGTTTCTGTGCTTGCTGATTATGAATCTGATGTCAAATTTTCAAAATTCAAAATGGCGGTTAAGAGCTTCAAACAAATCCAATTATTTTTTTTTAAGTTGGTCGCCATTTTGGATCCACCTTGAAAAAGTGGGTCACATAGTATGGGTACGTTCCCTTATCGCGATAAGCTGTTGTGAGTGATCGCGAATGGATTACTTGCATCGTTTTTCCCATTTATGAGAGGCCGACATCGACAATGCTCGGACTTCTCATATTCGAGTTAGAGCGGAATGCAAAAATAGATTTGGAATATTATCGATGATAATCTCATAAATGAATGAAAACGAATACATAATCATAAATGAGAACTTACGAACCCTGGGTATAAAGGTATTAATTATCGAATTTAATAATTAACATTTACATATTTCATATACATATATATATACATACTAGCAGACCCGGCGAACTTCGTCCCGCCCAAAATTTTTATGTATTTTATTGAAACTTTTTGGTCCAACATTTTCACCAACAATTCACGTTTACGATTTTCATTGGCACATTTGTCTGCTAAGATTAAGGTTTGGTGGTCATTTGCCGCTTTAAATAACCTAAGGAAAGTGTTATATCCGTTCTTGAAATTCTCCAGTTGTGCGGCATTACATAGCACGGTTATTCGCAAAGCGAAATAAATTTTTTCCTCTTCACTCCCTGGCGGCAACAATGACCCGGTTCTATAGTGAATGTCCTAGAAGCTTTACAGTATAGTAGGTGGCAATTTCAAAATGGGTGCGAATCATTGTTCTACAGAAATGCAATATACATATACTTATTTCAGACGAAATACCTTAAAAGTTTGAACGCATAATAATATTGGAAAATCACATCCATTGGGCCAATTGCAACGCAGGAGCGTTCGATATACTCAATGGTGCAACAGGTCGATTTAATCTGACCTTCACGGCCCCTTTTCTCACTTGGCTATTTTTAGTAATAGCTCGACTTCAGCACCTCTTGGCAGCACGCTTTTGCAATAGTATTGCATACATATTTAAAACATTAGCCAAATCGGATCATAAATAAGATTTTTAGTAATAACTCAACTACAGCGCCAACTGTCGGATTAAATTGTGAAACTAAACCATCCAGAGACCCACTCAAATACACAAAAAGTTTCGTTAAAATCCGAACAACCATTTAGGAGGAGATCACTCACAAACACACCTACAGAAGAATAAAAAAATTCATTCAAAGATAGCTAAAGGTCGGTACGTTTGTAGGCCTCACACCCCTTTTCAAATAGCCCAAATTTTCTCCATGAGTATGGGCTTGATTTCAACTATATGGAGATATGTATACGAAGTTCCAGTACTGTACCATGAATACTTTCAGAGATATGCAGTATAAAAATTCGATTTATATGGGAGGTGCCACGCCCCCTTTCCAAGAGATGCCCTCTTTCTTCATGAGTATGCGATTGATTTCGTATATATCCATATGTATGCGATTTATTTCGTACATCTCCATACAAAACTCTAGAACCCTACCAAAAAATTTCCAGAGATAAGCAGTATGAAAAATTCGGTTTGTATGGGAGATGTCACACCCCTTTTTACAATAGCTAAAATTTTTCTCCAAGGGTATGCGATTGATTTCGTATATCTCCATACCAATTTCCAAAACTCTACCATGCACACTTTCAGAGATATGTAGCATGAGAAATTCGGTTTGTATGGGAAGTGCCACGCCCCCTTTACATATAGATTTTTTTCAGCCTAAAACCATCCTTGGGACACGTGCGGCAGGTGGCAGTTTCAAAAAAATCGGTTCAGCCGCTCTCGAGCCTTGCGAAAACTATCAAACGGTTCTAAATATATATTAGTTGAGATATATTATATATTATAATTATATTTTGACAGTATCCGTTGTTTCTGATTGGCGCAAAAAAATCTTGCCTAGTGACGAATTCGCCCCTTGATATGGTCGTTACTTAAAGCTATTTCTATTCGAAATTGCATGAAAATTGGAAAACAGGAATCTATAAGCTTATCCAGGCAAAAAGCTACATACGTACCGAATTTTAAGTAAATCGGACCATAAATACGATTTCTTCGAACAGATCGGTCCCTGGTCCACTTCTCGGACAAAATGGATCATATATGCTAATATATGCTAAAAAGCTACCTACGTACCGAATTTTAAGCAAATCGGACCGTAAATGCGATTTTTTGGAATAGATCGGTCCCTGGTCCACTTCTCGGAAAAAATTTATCACATATGCTAATATATGCTAAAAAGCTACCCGCGCACCGAATTTTAAGCAAATCGGACCGTAAATTCGATTTTTTCGAATAGATCGGTCCCTGGACCACTTCCCGGAAAAAATGGGTCATATATGCTAATATATGCTAAAAAGCTACTTACGTACTAAATTTTATGCAAATCGGACTATAATAAGATTTTTTCGAATAGACCGGTCCCTGGTCCACCTACCCGAAAAAAAGTAAAAGTTTTTTAGCCTAAAACATGGTGGTTACCGAAAACTATTTGTATACAAAATTTCATGAAAATCGGACCAGCCGTTCGCGAGATTACCTGTTACAAAAAAAGGGACTTCTCTTTATATAATTAGTATAGATTTCAAGAAAGCTGATATGCCTGCACCCCAAGGGAGTATTATCGAGGCAGACAATACAAGCTCAAGCAGTTCCACGGAAGAGCAACCTCCGCTCAGAATTTTTCCCAATGGAGCAATTGTCAAAAATCTGCTTTTTTAATCAAAAAGTTGTTTATTGAAACTACTTTATTTTTTGGATCATGCAAATAACCTTTAACTTGTTATTGGTTGTTAGATATATGTTCCTATTTGCTGTTTTTTGTGAAAAAACTAATAAAATATTTGAATAATTGCCTTTACTTTCTTAGACTAAAAAGTTTTTTTAGCTGTTTTTAGCTCGTTTTTTTGTCCTTTAGCTGGATTGCTGAAAAAATTCTCGCTACACTGCTGGCATCACTGCCAAGAAGTGCTCTACCACACATACAATCTCACTATTCTGCTGACTTCGTTTTCCCCTTCCGATAACTTTTTGCTGATTTGTGCATCCCTACCGTAAATAGGGATAAATCGATACAAGTAAATCCAAGTACATACTCGATACTTTTCTCAATTTACCAAGTATTTTTGTACTCGATACATTTTACTTCGATCCAAGTAGGTATCGAAAAAAAGGACTTGTATCGGAAGCGCAAAACTTATTATGCTTCAGCATCTTCTTTGAAAAGCAACCCATTAGAGGAATTGGAAGATATGCGCAATATATTTCCACAGCTATATAAGCAAGCCCGTCTATACATAACGGTTGTTGGGTCACCTGTCCCTTGCGAGAGGCTTTTCTCAAAAACAGATACAACTATATCAAAACCGCGAAACCGCCTTTCAGGAAAACACTTGGAAAAGTTGATAATTTCGGGAGATATAACAAAAAAGGAAAATAACTCCTTATTTTATATGAAAAAACTTTATCTATTAATCTTGTAAAAATATATTCTATTGTTTTTGAAATCAAATACTATACAAAATAATTCTTGTCTTAAATTTTTGTATGAAAAAATATTAAAGGATAAATAATCTTGTAAACAAACATATTTTTTGTGAAAAAATACAATTACTTTGAAAAATATGCAAAATCGTACTCTATGTACAAGTACTCGATAACTTTCCGATACTGAGTAGGTATCGATATCTTGTTTGATACAAGTACAAGTACTGATTTGAGTAATACCTTGATGGTATCGATTTATCCCTAACCGTAAACAATAAAAAATGAGATAAACAATTTTGTTTACTTACTTGTATTTGAGAAGCATGTAAATCCATTGTTATAATATGGTCAGCTCCAGCTACAGACAACATATTAGCGACTAATTTAGCAGATATGGGGGCACGACTCTGTTGGTAGGTAGAAAAAAATATATACTTATACATACATACATATATATAATTTAAATTCATAAATGTAAATAATTTTTTTTTTTTTTTTCAAAACCAATAACTATTACACACCCATCACAAACAAAAACGAAATACATGTACACTCTGGGATTAATTCATCTTTCATATTGCATTGTCCACGGGTTCTGAGCTAAGTTCGAAGTCTCTAGGTCATCAGGGAGTTGGTTGAGAATTGAGTGCAAGATTTGATTACACACAGGTGAAACATAATAAACGCTTATAATAAAAATCAGTGAAAAATTCACTAGCCCATTAAAATTAGACATTCTAAAAAAAAAGAAATTGTAGTAGCGATTTTTGATGCAGAGAACCCCAGAGGAAAACGTTTCACGTGGACCGAATCGATTTTAATTTTTTGACCGCCATATTGGATTCGCCATTGTGAACTTTTAAAATCACTAGTGAACCCGCATGGCGTTAAAACGCCTAAAATTTAATTTCAAAAACTTAAAAATTATTCCAAATGTTAGTCAGAGTTATAAGAGATCCGAGTGCCACATTTCATCAAAACCGTGCAGCCGTTTCTGAATGAAGAGCAGTCTCGCATAGTGCATGTTTTTATTTTCATCGAATTTCAAATCACCCTATACCGATGAAAAAAGTTCTTAATTAAAAAAATAAAACTTTATCATAGATCTACAGGCTAAGGTCTCTAATTTAACCTCTAATTTTTGAAATTCCCTTTCAAAAGTATTCTGAAAATAAAATCTTCTTAAATCTTATTCGTCTTACATTGTGATATACATGTAATCAATAAACTGATGAACTAATTCGAATTTGATTGTTCGAACAAATGGCAGCCCTCCTAAGTAACGGTCAGGAATAAATTCCTTTCAAACCCATTTCGATTTATACCCATCTTTTAATAATTCATCCAACTTACTGAATAATTTGAATTTAGCTTTTTAAACACGTGGCAACTCTCTTCAAACATTTGAGATGTTCAAAATAAAGATTTCTTACCATTCCTTCGTTTGGCTAGGGTATTTTTATATTTCGTATACTTTTTGAATTAGTTAATTGAGTTAGGCCTTTCAAACAGGTGGCAGCCCTCTTCAAAAGTATTTTCAAGATTAATCGTTGTTAACTCTCCTTTGCCGGACACTGCGATACCTATTTTAATTAACTGATAAATTAAGTGGAATTTTAATTTTCAAACATGTGGCAACCCCGCTAAATACTGTTCAAAATTAAAAATTTGTCAACCCTTTTCGATTGATACCCATATTTTAATAATTCATTTAACTTATAAAATAATTTGAATTTAACTTTTTAAACAGGTGGCAGTCCTCTTTTAACACCTCAAAAATATTATTGGCGTTGAAACTAAAGATTTATTAACACTTTCGTTTGACATTCATATTTTGATATTTCTATAACTTTTGTATAAGTAAACTAAATTCGATATTTCAAGCAGGTGGCAACCCTTTTCAAAATATTTTCAAACTACTAATTTCTAAAATCCCTTTCGTTTGGCACCCATATGGTGATACATATTTCTCTTACCTAATATGATTTTTTAAATAGGTGGCAACCCTTATATAGTTCAGCTAAGAAACAAAGCTTGTCAAAAACATTTCGATTGATAACCAGTTAACTGATTTATTTATTTTTTAATAATTTGAATATAATTTTTTAAAACCTGGCAACTCTATTCGAATAAGTTAAGCCTTACTGCGCATCTACAGCACATTTTCGAAAATCGAACGAACGGTGCGGATTTTATGGCATTGATTATTAAATAATTTTAATTTAATTTTTCAGCAGGTGGTAACTCCTTTCGAAAAACTAAAACCAGTTTGTACATCTACAGACCAAGCGGTTTAATTTGACTTCTAATTTTTGAAAATTGGGCGAACGGTACAGATCTTTTATGCTGAACAAAAAATCCCTTCCCGTATTATATATACATATATATATATTATATATTATATGTTGCGAATGTGGAATATTAGACATCCGCGGATGCGAATGCGGATGCGAATATCTAACAGCTAACATCCGCGGATGCGGATGCGAATGCGGATGTCAAGTATTTTTAATAAACAATTAGAATCTAGCATAATGGCGAGATCGTTGTTTAAACAGCGCTTACAAGCCAAACCAGATATGTCGAGTTTTTCTAAAGCTTTTTAAAAAGAATTCTTCATTCTCATTCCTTTGGATGCTTCAGAATTTAGGGGATCTGTAACTTCATCAGCGTTTTTCGATTTTAGTTTTTGTGATTCGTTTTTAATACATACTTTCTTCTGTGACTGGTTTGAAAAATGTGTGCTTATAGCGAGCTTAATAGGTGGATATGGAAAATTAATTTTTGTTTTCCAGGAATGAAAATTTTGAACAAAATTCTGGTCATCGGGTCAGAATATTGTTGTTTTAAAAAAAAAGCACCCCGTTTTTTAATAAGCATTTGAATCTCAGATAGTTACGTAATTCTTATCTAATTAAAGGTCAGACCTATAGCTTTTTAATTATTTGAGCATCGATTCTCTTTAAATCCAGACGTTGACCTTTTCTGCTGGAAATCCCTATTGAAGGAGCTTACTATTTGACTTTAAATAGCAAAAAAAGCACAGTTTTACCACAGAAGTTTTTAGCCAAGGATCCAATGTATATCCCTACGAAAAAAGTATTGCCCGACAAGAAACAAAATCTATGTGTTTAAAATGTTTGTTAAAAATAAATTCCCCAAAAAGCTTCATTTGAAATTATTGAAACGAACATGTGTAACATGAAAAGCAAATCACGAAAATTTGGTTAAGAATTACAGTACATAATTTCTTCTTTTGTGTCTAGTATTTTTTTTTTAAGATTGGTCCAAAAAAATCATAATAAAGAAAGAAACCAATGCAGGTAAATAAAGCAAAAAAAAAAACATTATTAAAAGGACTAGATATGTTCTCTTTGACGTACGCCAAAGGCCAAGAAGAAGTGGGAACTCGTATGACTGCCCATTGATAGCTCGGTTATATAGCTTAAGAAATAATATGGTAAAAGGCATTTTTATCAAAGTTGATATATATGACATTTGACCAGTTTTGTTACACAAATACTCCCACGACCACAGGCAAAAATGTTGGCTACAATTTGCCATTTTGTTTGCCATACATATATACGTTGCACAACATTCGCATTCGCAAAAGCTCCGCATTGATTATTGCATGCGAAAGCGAATGCGAATGTTAAAATTAATCGAAGCTCCGCGGTTGCGAATGCGAATGCGAATATTCGCAACAACCCTGATATATATATATATAGATTTTATCTGTATTTTTACCAAAAACAAAAAAAAAATACCACAATAAATATATGAATTATGTAAGAATACAAAGACAAATTATTTATTAGAAGCAGTGTCTCTTACAAACTGAAAACAAGTAATAAAAACCCTCAAAAAAGCAGAATCGCTACAGCGAAAAAATGGTTTGAAAAACCGCATAAATTCAAATCCGCGTAAAAAACCGCATAAAAATAGACCTAAGTGTAATGCTATTTTGGTTTTTAAAGAAATTCAATCGTTAATGCTGAAGCTGTAGCATGCATTTAAGTGCTAGGTGTTAATAATAAATTTTGGTTAATTTATTTTGTTTCGACGTTAACGATTGAGTTTTGTTTCGTTAATTTAGCTCTGAAACGTAACGAAATTATCTTGATAAGTTATTTTTGCCATCAACAAAACGAAATCGATTCAAATGGTTTGTTGAGCATCTCTGATTGTTATTATTATACGTAAAGATTGAGGTGTTGACTTAAAACACCGAGGCAGCGGGTTCAAAACGGCCACACGCAATCCTAACTATAGTACAAATTTCTGATCTTTATAGCCCAATTTATATCAGGAAGAATTGCTAATCACATTATCCTTGTAAGGTGAGTTTATGACATTCGATACGACACTAGGCTTCTGGTACTCGATTCCTCAAAATATCATTTTCAAACAATCAAGTAGAAAATATCGGTATCGAATGCCGAAAGTATCGATATGGTATCGTATCGTATTTAAATTCGTGTCCCTACTTCTGAGATTAGAATCGACAGAAAACGGGAGAAATTCCCGTTAAGAGGAAAATGTTTTCCCAATGCAGCATTAACTTTCTAAAGCCGAAGGGGTACGCAAAAAATTGAAAACCAACAAATCATTCAACATTTTCTAAAAATATAGCACTAAATTAAAAAACAACCTGATTAGTCATAAGAGTTTCACTCATCTGTTTTAAACAACAGCTTCGAAAATATTCGAAAATTGGCTGCATTAATGTAAAACAATTGAAATACATCGCTTGTGCTACTAAAATCTTATATCAATTCATTATTTTATCTTGTGGAAGAAGTGGTAAACATAATAATCTCATATAGTATTCAGTTGAGGAATGCATTCATCTTGGATCTCGGAACATTGACCATTTTTTCAAAAAGTTTCAAGCGAAAATACCTAATTTTCGCCGGACTTCTAGCTTTGACAATAAAATTTAAGATTTTTTAAAAAGTGGAATTAATCAATTTGTGCAGTGAGCGGCTCATTAAATATACAATTATCATGGAACTTATGTCTGACATAACTTCCACGAATCAGATCTGTGGAAGTAATGTCAGACTTTACTTCCATTGACCAAAAATCGATCGATGGTAGTAACTTCACGACATAACTTCCGTGGAACTTATGTATGTAACGTTTCGGTGGAAGTTATGTCGTAACCCCATCTTTTGCAAGCAAAAGTCTTTCGGAGACCGAACGCAGATATTCGCAAACGGAGAAGGAAAGTCTCGCGTTAGTTTGCAAGCAAAAGTATATTGGAGACTCAACGCAGATATTCGCAAACAGTGAAAAAAGTCTCTCGTTAGTTTGGGGTGTTGAACGTTTTTACTATTACTTAACAGGTATTGAGTTCGAACTGGTTATGGACCGTAAGCCTTACGAAACGATTTGCCGGCCCACG